GCCCCGGCGGGCAGCATGGGAGAGCCCATTGTTGGGAGCCGGCTGAGGTTGGGGCATCGGGGAAGGGACGGCGAGGGGAGCCGCCGGGGAGGGGGCACTTGGTGGCCCTGGGCTGCCCGGCCGGCGGCGGGGGGGGGGGGAGGGCCCGCCGGCGGGCCGGGGGGACGCTCTCTCCAGTCGGGGCGCTTGCCGCGGTGACTGCACTTTGCCTACCCGGTACGGGCAGGGGGCGCGTGGCTTCTGCAGCCCCGAAGGCTCCTTTTGTCCGCCCGCGGCGGGAGGAGGGGGTGCCGGGGGCTTTGTTCGGCCGGGAGCGCTCTCCCTTCCCTGCCCTCGGCCTCGCCACCGGCTCTGCGTCCTCCGGGGCGCCAGGCTGGGCAGGGACGGCGGCGCCGGCTTGGCCCTAGGCTTGGGGGACAGTTGTTTGGGAGGGAGGTGTAGGGTGGCGCTTTACTGCCCTCTCCAGAGTGCACCGAGCACCCAGAGTCCAGGGCTGTCTCCCTGGACCCCTAAAGCTGAGGAGAGGTTGGGGAGGAGGAGTGGATCGGGAACAGGAGGGTAACTGAGGAGTCGGTGGCTTGCTAGTTTGAGACACCTACGTGGGTTGGCTCCGACGCCACTTGAAAGTTCAAGTTTGGGGGCTGCTCTCAGCCCCCACAGCTTGAGATAACGAGTCCCCTGGTGCCTCCTCCCCAACTGTTGGTACCCGGCGGTGCTGCCCCGGGGGTGCGCTAGCTGCTCACCTCTGGTGGGGCCACAGTGGGACAGCGCAGACGGCGGCGCTCAGAGCTGGCTGGCAAGGTCTGGGAGCGAGCACCCGGTGGGATCTGACGCCTTCCTTCTCTCTCTGCCCCCTGCCTACTTTCCAGGTTAGCTTTATACGTCTACGAGTATTTACTGCACGTAGGGGCCCAGAAATCTGCACAGACCTTCTTATCGGAGGTGAGTGGAACTCTCCCCAGCATCCAATTTCTTGACACCCCCTCCTCCCCACTATTCTTAGAGCCTTTGTTTTCAGGAGCAGCCACTGTGGCCACCATTTTGAATTTTTATCACCTTTTGGCATTTATTGTTAGTTGGTCTTCCCTGCCTTTTGGCTCCGGGAAGCCCCCAGCCCACCCCCTCTTCTCAGCTCCTCTGAACTGCCTCTGCTCTCTCCTTTCCAGATTCGATGGGAAAAAAACATCACGTTGGGAGAACCGCCTGGGTTTTTGCACTCGTGGTGGTGGTAAGTTTGTGATACTTTTCTCACTGTGTGTGTTTTGTTTTGAGCCCTGGGTGCGAGTGAACAAAGAAGGCTTGGAGCAGGCCCTGTGCTCCTTACCCCTCAGCTGTGTGTGGAGCAGGACTCACAGCTCAGCCAGGGCTGCAGAGGAGGAAAAGGGCAGAAGGGCTGCTGCTGAAAGTTTTTTCCTGTCTTGCCCCTCCTCTTGAAAACCAGCTATATCTTGCGTGGTGTTGGGTTAGAAACTCCTTACTTTCCCATCTTATTTTGGGGCACTGGGGGAGAGAACTTGAAAGAACCTGGAAGGATTTTTGTCCATGCTGCATGCCGCTTTAATTAGAGCAGAGGGGCTGAGTGGAGGGGACACCAGGTCTGTTTCTATGAACTCAAAACCTTAAGAGAATTCTACCAGGAGCCTCTTCCAGGCACCCTGGGGAAAAAAAAAAAACAAGGAAAGGGTGCCCCTTTAAAGGTAGTGATCCCCCATCCAGCAAGCATCCATACAACCACAAGGCTTTATTTAAAACCAGCTATATCTTGCGTGGTGTTGGGTTAGAAACTCCTTACTTTCCCATCTTATTTTGGGGCACTGGGGGAGAGAACTTGAAAGAACCTGGAAGGATTTTTGTCCATGCTGCATGCCGCTTTAATTAGAGCAGAGGGGCTGAGTGGAGGGGACACCAGGTCTGTTTCTATGAACTCAAAACCTTAAGAGAATTCTACCAGGAGCCTCTTCCAGGCACCCTGGGGAAAAAAAAAAAAACAAGGAAGGGCTGCCCCTTTAAAGGTAGTGATCCCCCATCCAGCAAGCATCCATACAACCACAAGGCTTTATTTTATCAAGAACCTTAGCTGGGCAGAGTCAGCCTTGCAGAGTGCCTGTAGCTTATTTTGGGGGATCTTTCTTTATATATGACCCTGGAGGCAGGCCTGTGGGCCCTGCCGGTATGGGACCACCAATGGTCTGGTCTCCGTGTGGGTTTGCGGCTTAGGCTTAGGGTCAGTGGGAGCCGTTTGCCATGAGTGTATGACCTAGGTGTTTTGTGGGACAGATTAGTGGAGTCTTTGACATCCTTTTGAAAAGGAAAAGAAAGCAGAGTGGCTTTTGATATGCTGGTGGAGTTCAGGAAAACGGAGTGTGGTGTAGCTGGGATCTTAGCGCATTTACCTGACTGCCAGCTCAGGTTACTGTTTCAAGTCTCTTTGAACAGCAGGAGGATGAAATGTCTGTTCTAACTTGTGCAGAGAAAATGAGTTTTTAATTACTTCTGCCACCCTGCGAACCGCCAGTATTAGAGGCATTTGGTGTGGCGTAAGGCTTCCACCTGTAGGAGTGGGTGAGAGGTTTTCCGTGGCGGTTTTTGGAAGGGAGTGTGTGGATGGGGTTGGAGAATCTGATATCCTGGATCTTGTAGAAACACAGGTTGGTGATGAGTGAAAGTTGCTTTGACGGGACTGGAGAGTTTGCCGTCTTGTGTTGGAGGAGTTAGTCAAATGTGTGTAACTCTTGAAGAGAGAAGGGAACATTTTCTAGCCCTCCTCTGTTGCTAGTAGAAGTCCCTGATTTTCCTGTTATATCTAGCATTCCCTGAGACTTCGTCCTTGTCTCGGCCCCAGGAATGTAGGGTCTGTGTCACCGGGCGCAAGCACTGGAGACTCTGGGTGGCTGCAGCTGTGGTCGTTAGAAGTTGCATGGTGCAGTTTGACAGTGAGCAAGTAACTGCAGCTTTCTGGAGCCGGAGGAGGAGGTGCAGTTGATCCAGCGTAGGGCAGGCTGCTACCTTACTCACACCCCTCCAATGAGATGCTTGTCTGATGACTGGCAGAGCTGGCTGTTCGCGAAGGAGACTGGGAGCCAGGCTTCAGTTCTGGGGCTCCCCTGACCCTTCAAGCTGGTCCCGTCCCTGCACCTTGGGCTTCTGATCCGGAGAGTTTCTAAGGCCCCCTCTGTTAATTCCAGTGCCTGCCCCGTGTTTGTGTAGGGCTTTCCTGGTTGACAAAGGCCTTGTATGTCTGTTCTCAGTTAATTCGGAGTATTGGAGTGACCATAAAAAGTAATGGAGGAGGGTGAGGCAGGCATTTGTAGGCCTGCTCTCCCTCTCCCCCTTCACAGGAGCCTCTGAAAAGCGGCCTCTGCTTCACCCTGAAAGGACAAGGTGTTTGGCTGTCCATAACCTCTCCTTTGGCTAGTTGATATGTGGTCGGGTGGGCAGGGAGAACTGGTTATTGCCTAAGAATTCTTTGGGGAAGGCCTGAGTGAGGGTGAGGTGGGAGGGGTGGGGGACCTGGGATTAAGAACCTGTGTGGCTCCCTGTATCACCAGTCACCCAGGTTGCTGCACATACAAATCACAGTCATGCCCCGACTATGACAATTTAACCTTTTCATGATACGCGGCCATTTTGGTCTGTGGTGGTAAGATGCATGCAGATGAGACAGCTGTAGGTTCTCTTCCGAATTCTGCTTGTCTTACCTGGGCATCCGTGGATGGGTTGTCCTAACCAGGCTTCAGTTTCCCCATGGGTGAGGGGGAGAGAAAACCACCTGCCTTATGGCGTTAAGGTAGCCACGAGCATTACCGTGGGTGTGAGCTGTCAAGCATGTACTAGGTGCTTGATAAAACCGTGTTCCTCGTATTACACATGGCTGGCATGCCAGAAGTCAGATTCACTTCATGTCTTAGGCTGATTTTGCCCAGTGAAAGCGGGAAAGGTGGAATGGAACCTTTGGGAGACCTGGTACTATTAGCACTGCGCATTGTACACTTGCCGTTGTGTACCCAGGTAATAATTAGTAACCTGATCTGATTTTACTTTTCGACTTGCAGTGTATTTTGGGACCTTTACTGTGCAGCTCCTGAAAGGAGAGACACTTGTGAACATTCAAGTGAAGCAAAAGCCTTTCATGATTACGTGAGTAACTAATTTTTAATCCTGGCAATAATTACAGGGTTGGATAGCTCTAACTTCTTTAGTACGAAAAGCAAATACACAGCCAGTTGGCAGTGGTCCGTATTTTCTCCTTGCCTTTCTTTCTGAACTACTGCCCACCTCCCTGCCATACCCTCCTCTAGCAGTGTTCGGACTTGGTGAATGGTGTTTCATAATGTTGTAATTATGCAAAAGAGCATAGATACCTATCTGGAAAATTAGACAGTGTCGTATAGGGCTCAGAACCATGTGCGGTTTATGTTAGGTGTGGACAGTTAGCTGGGAGGAGACTGAGCCCTTTCAGTGTTGGCTAGGAGAAAAGTCGGCCATAATGATAGCCCCAAAACAAGCAAATAGGAAATTTGTGTTTTGGAGTCAAAGGGGTGGTCGAGTGAGAACTTGGTGGAATGGATTCTTGTTCTACTTTTCAGAGCAAACTTTCAAGTTATGGTGGGATGTCCTCGGTGGGGGGTCGGGGCTCATGTTGTATCTACTAAGGTGACATGTACTCTTATCCTCACCTCGTCCATAATTCCATGTCTAGAATATTTTTGTGAAGATGGTTTCATCAAATTGTAGTGGCTTCCCTTTGTACCTGGTCATTCCCTTTGTACCTGGATGGGTTTCTTGAGAGTGTGAAATTACTACTCTTATGAATTATGAAATTATAAGAGGCTGTTTGCCATGTGTTCATCTCCCACGGCAGTCCCCTGTTAAAAATGGACTCCTAATCTGGGTTGGAGTCAGACCTTACCATCTCATGAAACAGCAGGATCTGTCTGGGGAGGATGAAAGGGAGATATCTGAAGGTCTTCCATGGCCACCTTCCAGTTCTTTCCCGTTGACCATGTGGCGGTTAAGCATGTGCGTGTGCGCGTGTGTGCGTGTGTGTATGCACGCACATAGCAGGTGATGTTTTAGTCTTGCTCTCCTGCATAAGGTGGATAGGATGATTCCCAGGCTCTGGGTGTGGAAGCTGGTTTCTTGAATGTCATCAGGTTTTATCCACCTGGCCAGGCCATCTGTGTCTTCCGCCTGCAGAGTTTGAAACCGGCCTAGGAGACCAGCACCCATCTGCTTAAATTTCACAAGTGGTCAAATCCCATTACCACAAATAGCTTCATGGTGAAAAGTTCTCGTATAATACAAGGCATTAGGGACTCAACTAAAGGCACACTGGTTTCGAGAATATTCAGTGTGACGACAGTTTGTCATGACTGAAAACTTAATGCCCTTCGAGTGGAATGCTGAAGAAACGGACCAGTTCTTGTGCCTTCTCCAGGTCGGAAACAGAGAAGCTGGTAAATGGTACTTCTGGCCTGGTAAACTTTTGATAGTCTAAGGCAGAGGTGACTGGTTCACTTGTGATGTGGTTCTTCTGGGAAAATCCCGTGGTAATGATCAGAGGGTTTTCTGAACTGGAGGTTGAGGGCGGCTCAGAGGTACAGCAGCTATAAAAATAGTTGGTAAATTTGACCTTTCTACCTAGTTAAAAAAAAATTGCGTGTGTGGGCCTTTTTAACCAATGGACAGCCCAACCCTGTGTCACTAGTCTTTGATTCCTAACCAGATGGTTTAATTTCAGAGTGGGTGGATGTGCCTATTTCAGAGGAGTCTCTTGTATCAATCTGTTCTATAATATCTGTGCTATCTTTTGCAGGGTGCCTTTGAGAGGAGTTACTGATTTCTCACCAAGTGCAGTGCTCTCATAAATAATCTGAGACTCTCTTTGGCGATGTATGGTTTGGTCTGGAAACAATATGGTGGTAGTGAAAGCTCGTACCTGGTTTGCTTTTAGGAGTTTGTGAAGGGGTGTCAGTAGCATGTGTGGAGATGGTTGAGGTTGGCGTTGACATTTAGAAGATGCCATTAAGAGATGAAGTCATGCTGATTGAGGCTCAAAGCCCACAACTCATAAATTCGGGTATCAAAGCCTCCTTTTTTCTGTGTCTGGATCCACTTGGTGCCGTGTGATTGAGAGTCGTATCAGTGGGAGGAGAGATGGAGGGGTGCAGTGATTAGGAAGGAGCTAAGGAGTGGAGTTGAATTAACGGGGTGGCAGCAGAGAAGCGATGAGCAAGCTAAGAAATCCTGAGGAAAATTAAGAACAGGAACCTCCGCTTCTCTTTGTCCTTCACAAATACTCATCTAGTCTCTCTAAGCCCCTGCTATCATTCAGTTAGCACCCATTCCTTCTTGCTTATTATTGTAATAGCATCTAACTGGACTCCCTTCCCCTTCCTGGAATGCATCCCTCTCTTCTCTGTTCAAATCCTAGCCATCTCCTACTTTCTTCTTGGAGGCCTTTCGTGATGGTTTTCTGCACACTGACCATGGCTTCATCTCAGTGTCCATCAGAGCCCCCTGTACAGAGCCACTGTTGGCATCTTTCATGCGCCACCCCCGCGGCCCCTGCCCCGTGCTAACTATTGTAGGTCCAGTTCCTCATCTTGTCCTGCCAGTGACCCTGTGAGAATAGGCATGCTGTCGGTTTTGCAGTAGGAGAAACTGAGGCACAGCTGGTTCATTCCCAGCTGGTGTGTGGTAGAGTTTGAATGCAGAGGCACGGTATGACTGCCTTCAGGAACAGTGTTCTAACACCACCTGGGCAGGCCCCATAGTCATGGCAGGTATCATTTGTTTGCACTCTTCTGGCTAACTTCTCATGTAGGTTTGTCTTTCCGGCTGCAGCTTATTAATTTTTTCCATGGCAGAGACCATGAACTATTCATCTCTGTAACTCCCATAATACCTTGCACATGTTGGGCACACATGTTAACTGAACGAATGAGTTAGTTGTAAGGGTAAGAACAATAGAATATGTGGGTCAGTGAATAATAAACAGGGCTAGAACAGCCCGTGGAATACTGGTGACTTGATTTTTGTGGGTGACCTTAAACAAGGTACTCTGTGTGTGTGTGTGTGTGTGTGTGTGTGTGTGTGTGTGTGTGTGTAGTTAGTTGCCAGGGCATGTGTGCTCACTAGAAAGAGACAGGGAGGAGGAGTAAGAGGGAGAAAGTACCCCCCGATAGGGCATGGTTACACCATAGTCCCTTCTCCACTTCTCCACCTTTTGGGATTTTGGGCATACATGCACATGTGCCTGGCATGTTTTTCAGGTTGCAGGGGCCAGAATTCGAATGTTGTTGGCCATGTGGGATCCGCCTCCCTTGAACGGTACACTATGGGGCTGGCCTTAAACAAGGTGATTTTAATATTGGTCAGCTATTGTCTTAAATTGGTTTGGAAAATCAAGTGGAGTGTAAATAAGAGTGTATGTTCACTGGCCTTTGGTTTTCTATCAGGATTCGAAGATTGTCTTGTTACAGGGAGTCTGTTGCCCAGATGCCATTCCTAGTCTTCGGAAGGCAGTGATTCCAGTGGGGCAGGAGAGGACCTCAGAGGAAGATCCTGGTCTTGGCCCTTTTAGGAAAATGATAATGATCCTTGTAAGTCCTCGCCCCTCTCTGTTCGCTGAGTCTGAGGGTCAGGTGGTCTCAGAGGCCTCTCCCAGTCAAGTCCAGGTTGTAGGGTATGGAATGAACCAGGTGACTGAGTCTGGAGGGGCTTAACCTCTCTTCGAGTTGATGAGTTTTACTGGGTCTGTTTTCCCCGACAGGTCTGGCCACTTTAGTTTTCTTGGCCCACGGTTAACCCTGGCGTTGACCACATACTGGGGAGCACGTTGGGTAGATTCGGTATCTGGATCTGTCTGAGAAAATTGGTTTGCTTTAAGTCAGAAGAGCCCCTGAGGCGGGGGCGGGGAGGGGGTTGTCAGGGTCTGTGCTGTGGTTTCTACCATCCATTTCCCGTCACGTCAGAGCTGTGTTTTCTCAGAGTTGAGGTCCCATTGTGGGGTCTCTTTTGGGTTTGTCTTAGACACTGTTATCTGGGTCCTGTCCTCCTGCAGAGTGGACACTCCCAACTACACAAGGCTCCCCATGACGGGCTTGCTCAGTGGTGCCCTGGCTGCTTTCTGCACCGGCTTTCCAGCATGCGTCTGCAGGGTTAGAAGTGTCTGGTGCTTGGGGCCAGCAGGTGGCCTGGTGGTTGAAGGTGCTGGACTCCCACATGGCCGACCACAGTTCAAGTCCTGGACCTGGCGGCTTGCTTCTTCACTTTCCTTCTCTCCTTCTGTCTCTAAAGTTAAAATAAACACATAAAGTTAAATAAAAATAATTCTTTTTAAAAAAAAAAAAAAAAAAGTGTCTGGTGCTTTTCTAAACCACCGGCAGTCCTTTTCCTCCTCGTAGCTGATTTCATGCTTTCCTCCTGGGGCCGAGGAACAAGTAGCCTTTGAGCCTAAGGCGCTAGCGGGTAGTGATGGATCCTCGCGCTGCTTACGTGTGCTGTATTCTTTAGAACACATCTTCACAAACACGATCGTGGCCAGGCCTCACAGCCGTCTTGTTGGTTGGGTTTTATTAAATCTCACCCCCATTTTACAGATGCGGAAACCGAGGCCTGGCATTTAGGTGGCTTAGTCAAAGGCATGTAGTTAGGAGGTGGCAGAGCTGAGACTAGAAGTACCCTGTCGTTCAGATTTTCCCTCTCAGCTTTTGATGACAGTCATCTAATAGAGAATTGCAGCGAAACAGAGGGAAGGTGTCTACGTGGGACCCAAAGCTTGCCTGGCACCTGGGCACGGAAGTACTGTGTTCACTGAATGAATGACCCTAACAGTTAAACCGAAGCCTCTGAGAGGGGAGTTGCAGTCCCTCCTGGCAGAGGAAGGCCCTGAGCGCTGGGAAGGGAGTTTTGTCGTGGAACGGTGGCCCTTAACTTAGGCAGGGAGAATATGATCAAAGCTATGGACTTCCCAGAAGATGCACGTGTCCTCATAGAGACTTCTTACACAACTTGGGGAAGTTCACGGACTCCTCCCAACTCCAAACCGCTCGGTGATTCTCAGTAAAGAACTTTGGGGGTTTAGTGGACATGGAGTCCCGTGACCTTGGTACATTTGCCCTGCTGGCCCCAAT